CTGAACTAGAATCCAAACCTCAAAATGTTTAGCTTCAAAAGCCTGTGTGGTTGCCCTCTGTGCCATACCTGGTGTTTGGTTTGAAATGTCAACTGATTTGGTTTCATTTCTTCCTACACATATGATTTAGCAAGACGGTATTTGTTATTTGAACCCGACCATGCTGAGAGTTTCGAATAGTTTTGGCTGAGAAGATTTCAGCTCCCTGGATCATATCCATTGTTGTGAAACTGGAAATTATTAAGCACAGTTTTCCTATTTTGCTGAGCGTGCTTTCGGTTTCCCTTCTGAGTGAAAAAACACAAGTCATGTGTGTTTTCATTCAGACCAGAGTATTACCAGAACAATCACAGTGAACCCTAACTATTATAAATGCTTACTCCTTTCCAGGCACTGTTCTAAGTGATTCGCATCAATTGGAAAATCCCAGGTGATATCTAGTCTTACAGGTGAGGAAATGGAGATCCCGGGAAATAAAAATTTCCTAAACTCATGCTGCTAGTAAGTGATAAACTCAGTTTGGGACTTAACCGCTGGCACGATCTCAAATTTCTACCAGTCTCATGAAAACATAAGACCACATGCTCAAACACAAATCTGATTAAAGAGGGCATCAGGAAAGAAAACTTCAGTACGAGGTTCAGTGATGCTTTCTCAGAAAACTGTAAAAATAAACAAATAGCAAGCCACAGTCAATCTTGCCAGTTAAGAAGCATCTTAGAAAAGCTTCTGGTTTTCCTAGTGTCAGTTGCACAGGGTATAGACATGCAGGCAGATATAAATGGCTAAATTTTAACACTGGGAAAATGCATGAGTGAAGATGAATATCTCAGGAAGGATTAAGGCACATGTGTCTACGTGCCTCGGCATTTTGACTGTGATCGGAAGGGGACCCTGAGGCGATGGGATTCTGTTGGCGTTTTCCACGGGTAGGTCATGCTTTTCAATATGTGGCTTTCACAGCAATCTTTCCCGAAGGCCTACTGTGTGAAGGGTGACAGGGTAGAAGCTTCTAGGTGTTATGTTATGCATGAGTAATACAGCCACGAAAGGGGTGTGTTCTCCATCTGATTTTGTTGCTGTGTGCTAGACAGAGATGCAGACAGAGAGCAATATCCTGATCTACGCCCGTTTAGAGGGCTAATAAACAGGCAGAGGCAGTGAGGCAGAGAAAGGCACTGGCTGCCCTATTTCTGAGCCTTCGGTCTTGGCCCAGCTCCAACTTTCATTTTCATGAAGAGAATAACTGAAACTTAAGCTCAGTTGAGACTTAGTCAAAGGAGGTGTGTCCGTCGTCCCGAGTGACAGGTTGCTCAGGCACACATATAAAGTGAGTCCCCGAGCTGCAGGGCAGTCGCTGGCACCTGGCACCATGTGGCTACTCACGCCTCTCGGCTTTGCTGGAAAGCTGCTGGGCGCCTTCAGGAAGCAGCTGAGCTCTCTTTGGGGCAGCCTGGTCCCCCTGCTCCTCTGGCTCAGGTCAGCATTCTGGCTGGCAGGGACCGAAGGGGGACAGAGGCAGCAGGGCAGGAAAGAACTCAAGGGCACCCGACAGGAAGAGGAGGCCAGCGATGATCAGCCCCTCACTCCCACCAGTGTCAACTACCACTTCACCCGCCAGTGCAACTACAAGTGTGGCTTCTGCTTCCACACAGCCAAGACGTCCTTCGTGCTGCCCCTCGAGGAGGCGAAAAGGGGACTGCTGATGCTCAGGGAAGCCGGTGAGTCCCCAGGGGATCAGCCACAGGCTGAGGTGACAGGGTTTGGGGGCATTCACAGGCTGGAGAGCTTCTCCAGAACCTCAGGCATTTCCCATCACCAGGTGAGGTGCCATCTGGGAAGAGAATGCCAGGTGAGTTTGGGGATGGGTACCTAGGACGTCCCGAGCCTCAGAGCTGGCTGGCGGGTGGGTGAGGGGAGCAAACCCGCCCCTGCCCCTCGGTGCCCGGCTTCCAGTCTGCCTGGCATTCTGAAGATGCAGGGTGAGCAGGTTGTAGTCCGGAGTCTGTGCAAAGCACTGATGGACCGGGTTTGCCAGGAATGGTTAATGAGGACAGTTGAAAACAATCGCTTGGACTTAAGAACTGCAGTACTCGAGTCTTTCATTTTGGAATATGTATGTGCTCTTCATATGGAACTTTAGAGAAACTCGGTGTAACTCAAATGATGCAGTGAGTTTGCTGTCAGGACTTGCTTACAGAGCCTCACCCCTAGTAGCAGGCAGGCACCTCAGGCATCTCTCATGATCTCCAATGCAAAGGCGCCTCTGTCCTTCCTCCGCCTGCCTGACGGTCTTTCCCAGAGCACCTCCTAAGCGCGCAATCTCAGCAGCATCGCCCGTTCTCCCCCCCTCAACTGGTTTAGCTTTTTTACAGAAGTATAACATGCATGTGCAACGCTGCCCACATCCTGAGGGCATGTCTGGGTGAATTTGACAGAGTGACCACTTCCTAATAAATAGCATGTAGATACAGGAAGGACACATCGCAGCGCCCAGAGTGCGTGCTTTGTTCCAGCTATGCCTTTCCCCCGCCCCCCAAGAGTTACCACTAGCTTGTAACACACACAGGTGGGTTTTGCCTGACTTTGTACTTTATGTCCTGAAACCATACAGTTTGCATTTTGTTGGATCTGACTTACTTTCTCCCTGTTACGCTTGCTCAGTCCGCCACAGCTGATCCAAGCGCAGACCCGCCTCGTCAACCCCAGTTCCCAGTGGGGTCTCGCTTAGGGCCTCACCATATCTCATCAGGACTGTTGCATTTCAAGTCACTGTCTCTGCTAAAATGTATTTTGATGCTTTAACTCCCCCACTTAACCCTCTCGCGTGGCTTCACACCCCGCACTTGCTAGCACAGGCTGGGCAAAGCTCAGCATTGCCATCAGCGTGCCCCACCCCAATGCCTGACATCCCCTGTGCAGGGGACACATCACATCACACCCACTCGCCCCCAACACATGCATCATCAAGCCGGTGGCCTTACTGTTCTCTCTTCCTGGGATGCAGGCCACCCCAATCTCTGATAATGATGTTGTCACTCGCACAGAGAGCTTCTAGTGAAGACTCAGTGAACTGAGTGGAACTGAATCAAATTCAAAACGAGCTCCCATATGACTGTATCACTGTATAAAAATCTGAATTTCAAGATACTCCGGGTCTCCGAGTTAATCATGGTGCACAAATCTTCATTTCCTCTACTCCTGCCTCCACTCCACCAAAATTACAGAAAAATCATTGAAAGAGGGGGGAATAAGCCGTAAGAAATGACCATAGTTGTTGTAACTGATTGGTGTACCCCTGCACCTGCTGGGGGAACGGCTGCTAGAGGCTCCCTGCCTGCCCTGTGGAACGCAGGAAGCTTCAGGAACGGGAGCCAGGCTGGGAGTGAGCAGGCAGGTGTGAGGCCAGAAGCAGCCAGATCTGCTGCTCTCCCTGTCATGGTCAGGCGAGGCCTGTCATAGAATTCCCAGGAAGAGAAAAAAGTAAATTTGAGAAGAGGTGGGAATCGCATAAGAAAAATTCCCGCAACAGAGAGGGCTGTGTTTTTTAGAGTGAGGGTCTTCCGAGTGGCCCCAGCCATGGACAGGGACAGATTCTACGAAGGCACATCATCTGACATTTCAGAACATTAGAAAGAAAGCTTCTGGAAGGGAAAAAGCCATATACTTAAAAAGGATGATTTCTAAGAGTGTTATCAGACTTCCCAACAAGAATATTAAAACCTAGGAGACAATAAGCAAAGCCCCTAAAATGCAGAGTGCAAAGCAATTTCACCCAGAACATTACATGTGGCCAAACAACCGATTATAAATCTATTTTAAAACATACAAGCCCTCACTTTAATTCATAGTTTACATTTTTTCAAGAAACACCAAAAATAATTTTCCAAAATAAGGGAATAAACCAACGGAAAGGAGGTCAAGGATTTTCCAGGACAAGAGGCGTCCAGGGCATGGGAAGAGGAAAGGGCAGTCCCAGATCGGTGCAGAGCGACCTCCCAGGGCTGAGTGACCTGAGAACAGCCATTCTGGGCTGTTCTAGATCGGAGCAGAAGGGTTTTTTTTTGTGTTTTTGTTTGTTTTGTGCTTTACAAGTCTCTGGGCTGCCTCTTTGCACCCTTGGGCTTCTAAGCAATTCTGTCATCTGTGTAACTAATTCCCTATGTTACAGTGCATCTATTTTAAAATGGGGGGCGGGGGAACAACTTCAAGAGATGTTTTCATCCTAGTAAGACCCTGGATTACATACATGGTGCTCCCATAAAGTGGGGTTGACGGGGAACTGGGGTTAGAGAATGCAAGGATAATGAGAAGTTCTATTTCATTTCTGTTACATAGAAAAAATAGGACTTTGGCCACTAAAATAATAATGGATGTGTGTGGAGTGGAAAAATAGAAGGAACCATGTCTATGTTGCCTCTCCCAGGTATGGAGAAGATAAACTTTTCCGGCGGAGAGCCTTTCCTTCACGAGCGGGGTGACTACCTGGGCAAGCTGGTGAAGTTTTGCAAAGAGGACCTTGGTCTGCCCAGCGTGAGCATCGTCAGCAACGGCAGCCTGATCAGGGAGCGCTGGTTCAAGAGTTACGGTGCGTTGCGTCACGTGACGCTCGGTAGTCCTGCTAAGATTTTTGTTGCTGTGTTTCCTTCCATCCTGGGCCTTGGGCCAGGCCTGCGGGGCACCGGGAGTGGGGGAAAACCAAACACCCTTATTCTAATCTCTTTTCAAGCTGTGCTTGGAGTTAAATGCATTTTAGTTCTGTAGGGCTCTCAGTAAACAAGTGTGGCCAGACCGATAACAGAAGACATGAGTAAGTGACTCCTCTGCACGTTTCGGTGGGGTGAGTAGGAAGAGCTGAGGCTGTAGCTCAGCCACCCGGGGGAGCAAAGACACAGCTTACGGTTGTGCAAGCCCTGACCTTGTTGTTCGTTTGCATACAATGTGTAGTTTTTTTCAAATACCTACAGAAATAACAATTTTTTTGTTAGTCTGATAGGAAGTAAGCGACTGAACAACAATGGTCCTTCTCACTGTTTTTGGAACCTCTGGTTTCTGTAATTGGAGAGCAGGTTTAAGAATTGACTTTGTAGTCAATTCTGCATAGCCAAGAGACCTAGGAAAACACAACCTGGTCAGCTGCGAGAACTTGGCAACGAATGACTGGGCGGTAAAGAATGCCTGTGCTAAGAGTACGGAGGTCACGGAGAAAACAAAAGGAGGAATGAAAAAGGCAGTGAGTAATAAGGAGTAATAAGAAAGTGATGGGAGAGAGACCAAAACAAAGATAACTGTCATCAGCATTTTCTGGGCTCAACGACCCACTATCACAGCTCTCAATATGCTGTGTGGCAGGGAGGGGCCGGGCACTTTCGGGGTCCTTCACCAAACTCCCGTTATCTTGTCTTCCTCCGCATCTAACATGGTTGTGCCTGACATACAGTCGGAGCTCTATAAATATTTACATGATGAATCAGATATATAAAAGATGTCAAGCAGAAGCCAAAGAGTGTGGCAAAAAATATTAGGGTTCTTCTACAGAGCAATTTTATTCATGTGATGAGAAAAGAAGTAAATCTGTAAAGGCTCACAAATCCAAAGTAGCCACCTGTCTCAGAAGTTGCCTGGTGAGATGCACAATTCATGAGGAACCTGATTTAAGCACATTGATAAATGCTCACACACATACAAGTGCAGAGTTTTAGAACAATCTAGTGTAATTGTCTCCATCATCTCGTTAGTTGTATTTTTTTCAAGATTATTTTACACAGGAACCAAGTATAATGCACATTTCAGTGAGTTTTGTGAGTAGGAGGAAAAATATTGTGCTGTTGTTTTTTAATTAAAGTACAAGAGAGTCATATTTTATCATAAGGAGATATGAACCTTCAAAAGCTTGGTCCTTGGATGGGCATGATTAAAGGCGGCCCTTTTCCCCTCAGGTGAATATCTGGACATTCTCGCCATCTCCTGCGACAGCTTTGAAGAGCAAGTCAATGTCCTTATCGGCCGTGGTCAAGGAAACATCAACCATGTGGAAAATCTTCAAAAACTGAGGAAGTGGTGTCGAGATTATAAAGTGGCCTTCAAGATAAATTCAGTCATTAATCGATTTAATGTGGAAGAGGATATGAGGGAACATATTAAAGCACTGAACCCTGTCCGCTGGAAGGTAAGTGCACAGTGTTGCCTTTTTTTGTAATTAAACAAACAAACAAACAACAACAACAACAAAACATTCAGGGGAGAATTGCTTCAGCGAACTGAAAAACGATAAGGGTCCAGAGAACCCTGACCCTGTGGCGCTGGCCGGGGGGCCGAGCCCTGGCGCCTTCCATCTCCTGTTGAACTTTAAGTTACCCACATCCCCTTGGCCTCAGTTTCCCCTCCTGAAAACCAGAGCGGATTCCCTTCTAGAACCTTGTGAGGATAAAGGCCAGAAGATATAGTAGGTGCTGGCAGAGATGTTCTGAAGACCATCTCCACAGAAAGCCTAAGCTGTATTTATTTATGAACTAGAATAAGACTGGGTTACTTTTTTAAAACTCTTGGATTATTTATAAATGGCTATTTGTTCTTCATAAATTCTGTGAATACACTTTTCATGGAATTATTAAACGATCTCGAGGACAAGGCCATCCTCCAGTTGTAGCAAAATTCATTCACCAAGATGCGTGCTTTAGGACTGATTCCACTGTCAGCAAATAAAATGTCTGAAGTTCAAAGGCACACATGCCGATGGCAGGAATAGCACCCACCATGTGCAGACACTTGCACATAATTATAAATGAAAGCTTCCTTCCTACCCCTCGCTATTTTTCAGGTTCAACTCAGGGAACCAGCTTCTCAGACCTCACTCCATACCCACCCTGCTGGGGGGGTGAGAGTGGGGCGGACATTAGCAGGGGGCTTGCATGAATGTGTGTCCCCAGCCAGCTGCCCTAGGGGTTGGTATGTAGCTACCCAAAGCCACGTCTGTGCCTGGATGCAGAGTCGATGCAATGAAGGATAAGACATAGAATTTAATCTCGTAAGGATTGCCTCATTCGCTCCAGAGCTGCCTTTTCAAACTCCTGGCTTTTGTGGAGGGAACGGCTTCATTGCGTCCTGTTTGGAATGCAATTTCCTCATTCGGCCACTGGTGTCCATAGTTTGCACATTGATGTAGATGTGACTTGATGCCCCCGGATCAGGTGCCTGTTGTTGTGCAATTGCTCATGTGGTTCAGGAGCTGGTTTTCTGCCAGGGAGGCCCTGGGCTTACAGCCTCCATTAGCAGTACCCAGCGCTGAGCACTCCTGGGAGGTAAAGGCCCTGTGGTATGGTCAGCCAGAGGATCTGCTGTCAGCTGTAGGCTTGCTCAAGCAGCAACCGAGTGGGCTCAACCCGGCCCTCCCCATTCAGTCCACCACCTGCCCCCTCCCAGCACACACACACACTGCTCTCCTTCAAGAACCTGCACCTGCTTTCTCCCTAGAGGCCCTTCCATTCTAGCTGGTGGATTTTGGAGCCAGAATCAGCAGGGAAACCACCCACGGGTGTCATCACCCGTCTGACACTCGAGTCAGCTTGGGATGCCAACCTGTGTGGCAAGCTGCCCTCCCTGCCGGGCTCCTCTCCATGTCCTGCGCCTGGACTGGTGTTGGGTGCTGTGGGTGCAAAGGTCCGTGGGGTTCCCTCCTGAGATGCTCGCAGCCTACCAAGGAAGACAGCCAGAAAAGCAAACAGGAGACTGTCCACGTGACTAGGGGCCGTGCAGGCAGATGTCAAAGGCCTGGGGAGCGCAGAAGAAGGGGTGACTAGGCGGGGAACAGGGGAAGCAAAGAAGGAAAAATAGGGCATTAAAAATTGCTTCTGTGCTGGCTACAGTGTAATCAATAATCAATGCTGTGTAGAATTCCCTCCTTACATGAAAAGCCTGCAGACCTGGGCTCGGGACCAGCTCTGTCACTGATCAGCTGCCACCTGCTGTCACCTTGAACAAGTCCCTGGAACTGAATTTTCCTTTTCAGACAATGCATTTCTTATGATGGAATTATGCATTGCGCACACACACACACACACACACACACACACACCTATTTATTTACTTAGAAGAATGTTGAAAAAGACTATCAATGGCTTTGGAAGGCTGTCCTTATATATTAACTGAAAAACCAACATATTCTAGAGGCCTTAAAAGGATATATAAAATATCAGTGGAAATGACATTTTGAAAATATTTATTTCTTGGTTTGGGGATTTGAAAGGATTTGTTCATTTTCTGGATGCCTTTCTACGGTCCATAGTTCCTTCACTAAATATCTGTTATTCTGTAGTCTGAAAACATTAGATTGTAAGGCTAGGTCAAATATCATCTAGACCAGTTTTTTAAAGTTTATCTTTCAGGAATGTTTGCACTTCCTAAATTTCAGGGAGAGCTCTCATTTTCTCAGCGCGTTGCCTTTCTAGAATGTTCCTTAGTTCAAGGAGTCTTCTTACTTAAGAGATGAAGCTTGGGTCTGGGGAAAACGAGGTTTGGGGTAAAAAATGATGGAAAGCTCCTTGCAAAGCAAATAGTGCATTTTTCTTTGTTTCAGGTCTTCCAGTGCCTCCTACTCGAGGGCGAGAATACTGGAGAAGACGCCTTGCGGGAAGCAGAACGGTTCCTCATTAGCGACGAGGAATTTGAGGACTTCTTAGAGCGCCACAGAGAGGTGTCCTGTTTGGTGCCGGAGTCGAACCAGAAGGTTGTATGATGATGAACAGTAAACGCTGTTTTGTTCACACACCATTAGGTTGACCCCAAAGAGGACACTCTCCTGCCAAGGAAGGGCTCCACGGTGCCACTTGGAGGGTGCATCATGTCGGATGGGACCTCAGGGCGGAGGTCCCACGTCCACCCTGCACCTTCCAGCTGGGGCTTTGAAGGAGCCCAAGGTGGTGCCCTGCCCACCAGTGGGTACAGTGGTGGCGAGGAGAGCTGGTATGAGATCGGTGGTGACCTCTCTTTATATAATGCATACATTCACAAAGGGGGAAATCAGGTGCCTGGTGGCCAGAGCCACTGGGGATGTTATACAGTAAAGAATGGGGCTCCCCCACATTGAGGAAACAGGGGCATTCACCTGGAGATTCCGCTGTCAGAGGAGTTCTCAGAGCCACATCGGGCCCGGTCCCTGTCTGCTTGGGGCTGAGAGTCCAGCCTGCGTGAATCCGTTGCAATCTGAATGGACACAATGTGCCTCTGGAGACGTGTGTTAGGTGGGGGTGGCTCATGAGGGACATGCGCAATGACGCTCAAGCAATTTAAGAAAAGCTGAACCCAGAAGTAATCACACACACACACACACACACACACACACACTTTGTAAGACAGAGTTGAGCGTTCATACTAAAAAACACACTTGAAACTAAATTTGTATTTAATCTCTCCTTTGCAGATGAAAGACTCCTACCTTATTCTGGACGAATACGTGAGTATTTCTAATGAATTATAAAATTATCATTTAAAATTAATTCAGCCAGAGTTATAATGGGTGCAATCATTGAGTCCACACTTGCTCTTTTTAGCCAGCATTTCCCATGTTGATTGTCACTGATTGGCCTTAATATGCTAGAGCCCTGACTTCACTGTATCCAGTTCTGAGCTTGGCACTTGGGCAGGCACTAGCTTGACCCAGTCCCTGTGTTTGCACTAACTCCAGGCGATGGTTTCTCCCCTGTGGCTATGGGCCCGTGGATGTCACATTGAAGCTGACGTGACACAAAGCAGGCCATCTTGGGCTAGGGGTTCTTTGGCGACAGGGCACCCAGGGCACTTTAGAGGGAAGTCACATCACACTTTACATACTTTTAATACCTCAGTTTCTGTCAGCTCACCCTCTGATAGCCTTGGCTTTGGTGAGAAGAGGTTACAGTTCCTCTCCAAAAGCTGCTGACATTACCCTACCCTCAAAGGAAAAGGGAAAGCCACCTTTCTCAACACTGAAAAACATATCGCTTCTCCCTTTCCTCTCTCTCTCTCTCTCTCTCTCTCTCTCTCTCTCTCGATTCATAAACCACTAGCACATAACAAGTAATTCCATTCAAAGACCTGTATTTAAGAAATGAGCCCAACAAGAACCATGGCTTTAGTATTTAAATTGAATTTGGTGTTTTGAGAAATGCTTATTGTGCCTTTTGGTATTTTATTATTTTCAAGTTAGTCCAAGATACTTCACAGCCATTTGATTTTTGTCACTATGAGCTTTCTTTATGGGCATAAGGAGAAAGATGATAATGCGAATGTTCAGCTGGTGGTTTCAAGGTAGAGAGGTGAATTCAGACAGAATTCATTTTGGGAAGCCAAATTATCACGATTGGTTGGAGATTTTCACCAACCTTCCTCCACCGACTGTCTTCTTTCACACAGTTGGAACAAACGCAGAGGTTCCAAAATTTGCTTTTGGCAATTTACGAACATTTTGATTCCACGAGTATTACTGGAGCGCCTACTAAACGCTCAGGGTCAGTGGTAGGTCATCGGCGTACGAAGACCTCATTCCTGCCTGTATGGTGGATGCTTACGTATGTAAACCAAGAGTCTTCTCTGGGCTTACAGGAGTCTTCCCCCTCTGGTGCCTCAGCCTCTGTAGCTCCTTCCTTATGATTCTCTCTCCCTTCCTCTAAAGGAACTTTTTATTAATATATATTCATGCCTGCACAGTTTTTACTCCAACAACACCGGTGACCTGCAGTTTCCCAAATACACCATGCTGTTCCCTGCAGCTCACCTCTGCAAAGCATCCTTTAGATGTCAACAGTTTTTGAAAGCCTTTCCTCATGACCCCACCCCCACCACCACCACCAGTGGAGGGACACACAACGTGTATACATTTCTGTTTATCACGCACTTAATTGATGGAACGAGTTTACGGGGCTTAACAGGAGCTGGTTGAGTAGAGAGGTGGGGTCCAAGGAGTGCAGCGCCCTCCGGGGAGGATCTGGCCCACAGCTCTCAGTAACCATTTGCTGAGATGATTGCAATATCAACCATCATTTTGGATGAACCCTCAAAATTGAGTTGTACAGGATACAGTGTACAGAAAGGCCCCCCAATATCGTCATGAATTTCTGTCTAGATGCGCTTCCTGAACTGTACAAAGGGGCGGAAGGATCCTTCCAAGTCCATCCTGGATGTTGGAGTCGAAGAAGCTATAAAATTCAGTGGCTTTGATGAAAACATGTTTCTGAAGCGGGGAGGAAAGTATACGTGGAGCAAGGCAGACCTCAAGCTGGACTGGTAAAGGCGGACAGCGGCACAGCCTTGGGCCCACGTGGAGCCCCCGCACAGACTCAGCGCACCGCCGCCCTCGGCTGCCGTGCTGCTGGGTGGCACTTCTCAGGGGTCCCCAAGCTGATTTTCTGTTGCACTTGACATCTGATTCTCTGCGGTAACCGAACACATCACTTGGATAATCAAATTTCATAGATGATGCAGAACCCATTAGCTTTAGTTAATTAGTTTATTTTGGGATTGGTTAATTAGTTTGTTTGGTATTGGTTTGAGCCTTGTTTACTGTGACACCTGTATTTCCATTTTGAAATAGTTTTTTTCCAGTTCACTCATATGATACTCAAATCTTTTCTGCTAAATACCAAAATGCCAATTTTCACATCTGAAAAAATTGCAAAATATCTACCCCGATCATTTCTGCTTGTAGTAACGCTTTCCTTTTCTGCCCTTACACCATTGCAATCCTGGACTTTCTCCCCAGAAGTTCAGAAATAGTCAACAGATATTTCAAAGGATAAGAAATGATAATCTTATCAGTCTTCAGTAAGTACCCAGGACAGTCCAGGCATGACTGCTCGGGCATGGCCCCTGGCCCACGCTGACTATTCCATGAATGTTAGCTATCTCCCTCCCTCTCTTTTCTCTTTTAAGATTCTTAGCAAAACAAGATACACTTTTCGTTCCATGATGAAGTCGACAAGGGGGTTAGTGCTTGGGCTGCTGTGTGAACCTAGTATTCAAGCCACATGAGTCCGTGAAGCAGAAAGATGCGAGTTGATGTGAGGGGATGGTTGTCCCCATATCTCTGCACTGCCATGAGCTGCCCCTGAAAAGCACAGGACGCAGCCTATGGGAAAGACTGCGATGATGAGTGTAGAGTACACTGGGGTTTTATATACGTAAAGCTGTGGCACAGTGTAACTTTCTCAGTTAGCTCCGCCTCACTTGAAATATGATATAATCTAGGTCAGCAAGACAAGATCCAGTGCCTTTCTTTTCTGGCCATGAGAAAGCTCTGCAGGGAAATTGTGACTTAGACTGGGTCAAGGAACAGAGTCTCCTTCTAGAAAAATTACATGCAGTTTGTTTATGTAACCTAGATAGTATCTCAATGCCTGCAAAATAATAATTTCCTGTCATTGTTTCAAAAAAAGAAAAATCATGGAAAATTTTTTGCCCAAGCAGAGAAAACATGTGAGCCAGCACCCAGCTGTCATCCCCCTGTGCGTCACTAGGAGGCATCTAAGTGTTGCCTGATCGCATGAAACCACCAAGCCTTGCAGGTTTTGAAAGGTTTGTTCCTTGTGATTATTTTTCCTCAGAAGAGATAGTCCTACTTCAAATTTTAAGTCACTACAATTCAACTGAAATGTGTTTCTGTCCCATTGAGTTGTTATGCATTTTTAAAGTTATAGTTTTACTTTTTAAGAGAAAAATGAATTAGAACGTTTTTTTCCCTATGGATTTTGATAGTGTCTAATCTATGATGATGTTAATATAATCAGGATAAACACAAAACAAGTTTTTTTTTACTTAACATGAGTGTATTTTGCTGATTTTCACATTATTCAATAATAGTAAGTTCAGGGGCGGCTGGAGAGTTCAGTTGGTTAGAGCGCAGGCTCATAACACAAAGGTTGCCAGTTCGATCCCCACATGGGCCACTGAGATGCGCCCTCCACAACTAGATTGAAACAGCTACTTGATTGGAGCTGATGGGTCCTGGAAAAACACACTGTTCCCCAATTAAAAAAAAAAAAAGTAAGTTCAAAAAGAAAGATCAAGCATGTGAAAGCACCAAAGACATTGCCTAGTAAGTCTACAGCAGGTGCTCAGTCAGTATTACTTAAAACAAAATCTGAATCAGAAGCCCAAATCCTCTGAGTCAGAGTGAATTTTTCTCAAGCTGAGGGAAACTGTATTTCTCTTTCTCCAAAGAGAAATATAAAACAGAACAAAACAAACAAAAAAGCTGCACTTGAGGAATAAGCTACAGTATTTTAAATGCATTATCCAGTACCTTTTTTACTATCATCTCCCTTCCTTATGCATTACCAGGATTTGCAAAGCCTCGATGTTTAAAATATTCAAATGTTAATTTTTCTTCAAGGGGAGAAGCAAAGGCTTTTAGTTTAAGCCCACACTGTAATAATATCGTTGGAATTCTGTCTTAAGAAACCTATCAGATATGTTTCTGTCTTAAGACAGATAATTCTGTCTTAAGAAACCTTAAGATACATCAGATATGAGGAACAGCATATTGGGTTTAAAAGTACAAATCATCTTTATTATTTAGTGATAAATGATATGAAAGGTGCCTGTTTTCTTTTAAGTGCAAGGATGAATGAGACCATTTGGTTGAACCATCTGAAATGTAGGCTCCCATCTGTTCCTGTCTGGAGTTTGGGATCCAGTTGTTGGGTCCCTAGAGAGAATCGTGATACGAACAAAGTCTCAATAGGCCACTATCAGGCAATAATTGATTGTGTGGGCTGCCCCCTTGTTGAGAGGACTGTTAAATCAGCTGTGATTAGAGGGAGATAAATCAAGCCATAAGATTTTAAGGCTTTGTCTTGAGTATGTATAGGAAGTCTGAATTTTGGGGGGAAAATCTGTAAATATTTTTTTTCTGTATATATGATGCTCTTGAGTATTGGTTTAATATGTTGTAATATGTAATATATTAAAATATGTTTTGCATTCTGCCTTCTCTCTGTGGGTCGATATGAATGATTAAAGGACCTGTGTGCTTTACAAACTGCCATTGCTAAAGGCAAGTACAATTTCAAAATCAACAAGCATATCAATAATGAATAAGCACATTTCAGACAACTCGCTCAGCAGCAAGGTGGAGCAGAGGCGAGCCCCTGGGAACATACTCTTGTTTTCTAAAATGAAAGCCAGCATCTTGGGGACCCAGTGTCCAAGACCTGTTCACATTAGGAGTGAATTCCTGCAGACAGACAGCAGGCATAGCAAAAGCCTGTGATATAAGTGGTCATAGAACCACCCTTCTGAGTGTGCCCTGGTTAGCAGTCCAAGGAGCAGGCATCTGGCATCACAAAGCCTGGAGGAGATGCAGAGCTGGCCCCAGCACCCCGGTTCCTAGCTGTCCTTTTAGCCCTAACCCCTCAGGTGCATCTGCTGGGCCCTGCGTATGTTCCACTGGCATATGAACAGCCAGCACGTCCGTCCCTGTTACCTGCTGGCCTTTCTGACCCCTTTCCCAGCCGTCTGGGCCAAGGGACCCAACTCCTGGCTCCCATGTTCAGCTCATGGCCTCCAGGCACCACTGGCCCTCCTTAGACATGCAGAGTCCTCTGACGTGCCCCTGCACTTGACTTCTGGTTACAAACACTTTTTCAGGAAGGATGTGTCCTCACTACTTTCCCCATCCAGCGTGTGCCAACTCTGGGTGCCAGTCCCCAGGACAGGGGTTGGATCCAGGGGCTTAAAGACAATGAGAGACTCTATGGGACATCGGAAGTCCTCCGTCATTGTGGCTGAGCCCCTGACAGCCACACTGGGGTGTTTAACTCGTGCCAAGCCCCGGAGGGTACATGTCCAGCCCAGCCAGGGAAAAAAATGGGGAAATTACATCAAAACCCACATAGCAAGCCCTACTCAAAGGCCATTAACATCTTGAAAGAGCAAAAAGATTTCAACATTTTGTTCATGATTCTAAAAATAATACATATTTGGAGTATATTTGAAAAACTGTAAAGCAAAATGAAGAAAATAAAAATCACCCATAATTGCATCACCCAGAGGTAACTGCTAATTTACTTTCTATCTTTTCAGTCATGCATATTTTAATAGAATCGAGTTCATACTCAATTTTATTTTCCACACATCTTCTAAAGGTTTTTAGAAACAATTAGTATCCTTATTCTTTAATGAGAACAGGCAGTCCTTAACAATTCACACTAACAGATGAGAAGCGATTCAATGGCACTTAAAAAACCAGTTCATTTGGGGAAAAAAAAAATCAGTGGATTTGGTTTTGGAGTTGTTTGTATATTTGCTTATGAGAGTGTATGTTACGTTCTGGGAATTCACTTTAGCTAGAAAAAATACAACCATGAAAACAAAGCTTCTCGGGGCAAGCTCATTCTTGGAGGATCTGGGAAACAGCCTCAAAGTTATTTGTTTTTCATCAAGGGCCATCTCCACTTAACCCTGTCCCATCCTGCTCCAAATTGTTATGTGTGTGTTTTCCACACCGAGCCATGCTCCACAGCAGCTTTGTGCCCTACAGTTCACCTCCATTCTGACACTAGCGACCTAGACATAGCATCAGGTCCTAGATTAAGAGCGCAGTCTCAGCCCTCTCAGGTCCCTTGCTACTGGAGCCCCGCACCCCCTTCAGACCCCAGTAGCAAGCAGGTCATCACCAGACTTCTGACCTGACCGACCTGCTATAGGGAGGCTCCCACGACCCCCTCTTTGAGTTTGATTAATTTGCTAGAGCAGCTCACAGAGCTCAGAGAAACAGTTTATTTACTATATTACCAATTTACTGTAAAAGAATATAACTCAGGAACAGCTAGATGGAAGGGATGCACAGGGTGAGGTCTGGGGCAGGGGCGAGGGGCTTCCTCTCCAAACACACCGCTCTCCACACATCAAGTGTTCACCAACCTGGACGCTCTCTGGACCCGTCCTTTCTGGGTTTCTATGGAGGCTTCATTACATCCTGGAGCTTGATGAAATCGTTGGCCATTGATTCAACTTCCAGCCTCTCTCCCCTCCCTGAAAGTGTGGGGTGGGGGAGCGGGGACAATGAAAGTTCCAACCCTCTAATCACATGTTTGAGTTTACTGGCAACCAGCCCCCACCCTTAGCTACTTTCCAAAAGTCATTTCATTAACATAACACAAGACACCTTTTTTTGTCTCCGGAGTTAGGAAATTCTAAGGGTCTTAGGAACTCTGGGCCCAGGAAGCAGGACAGGAAAAAGACCAAATATACATTTCTTATTATAAATCGCAATGTCTTCCCTGAACTCCCCTTAGCTCCATGTCTGAATAGACTGACCTCTATCAGTTCTTTCTTAGGGTTTAGGTTGTAACCAACTTTCTGAGAATTCCTCCTGGCGGTTAAGTTGTGATTGAGGTGTCAGAAAACCCACCTATACGTAAAGCTTGAGCTGTGTATTTTCACAAGGGATTCCTCCTTGCTCTTTATGTCATAACTCAGATGTGACTTTCTCCGGGAGCCTAACAGATATCAGGCATTCAAGTGTTTGATTTGAACTGACTTCAGACAGCTCTGGCTGTCACAACAAAAGACCACAGAATGGGGGCGCCTAAAAGCCAGGCATTTATTACTCACTGTTCTAGGGGTTGGAAGTCCAAGTCAAGGTGCTGGCCAGTTCTGTGCAGGTAAGCGATTCCTGCTGTTCTGCCTTCAGAGGCAGAGACTGTAACCGCAGAACCAACTGGAAATGGTCCTACCCTGGTTAACAAGATGCTGAGCTACTTTTCAGAGAGAGCAGACCAAAACCGCCCGTCTCGCATGTGCAGAGGAGAGAGAACTCTGACCTCCAGCTGCACCCGGAACAGAGGTCGTGAACCCCTCCCCCCACTCCCCCGTTCCCCCGCGGAACCAAAGGACCAAGACATGGCTGAAACTTGAACACTGGAACATGGGAACCCTTTCAGAAATGAAGGATAGTTGTCCTGGAAGTTCTGGTGCTGACGCCCCTCATCATAACCGGCCAAGTTCCGAGGTCCTCCAATTAAAACTGGCCCCTCCAGGGCTTCCACACACCTGTTCCTGTAACCCCGGAAAAGCCCTTAATGGAGTCCAGCGAGCCAGGTGGATTTGAGGCACCATTAGGGCTCCCATCTTCTGGCTTGGTGGCTTCTCAATCAATAAACCTCTGCTTACTCTAATCTGTCGAAAAGTCTTTTTTAAGCAGTGATTGTGACTCTTGAGTCTCCCGCGCTTTTGAGTCTAGAGGAGAAAATTCAGCATGGCTCTCCCGTTCTCCAGCCTCCGGGCCATTTAAGGCAGCGCTGATTCTCTGGCCTGCCGACCACCTAGCACTCTTGCATATCATAAGCCATCCAAAAGGCACTCCATGAGTGGGTGACGACTCACAGGCACTGAGGAACTGTGGGTATTTTTTCAAATGGGCTTGACATGAGCAGTCTCTGGGTGAGATGGTTCAAAGTCATGACCTGTGTAGGGAGTTGGACTGAAAACCGTGCAGTGATGAGTGCAATCACCTTGAAAGACACAGGCAGCTCCTTGTTAGAGAGAACGGAGTCAGTTGCTCAGAGACAGGGCTCAGAGCAGATGATTTCACTGTTTATTTATGGAGCGCTTAGTATGCACAAGGTCCTGTGGGGAACTACACAGGAAAATGACTTCATCACTCTTCGACAGACTCTCGAGGTCTTAGAACCAGAGAGTAAATCCCAAAGCATGAAGAGTGACAGATGCGACCGATGATCAGCCTAGAAACCAACTAAATATTATACAAGTCCAGAGATCTGAGCATGGAGAACGTAGTGATGGGTTGGGAAGACTTCACAGAGAAAAAATGCACTTGAGATGCATTTTGTGGGTCGTTCCAAATTGTATTATCCATGATGATGCTGTCTTTCCCCATCTCCCCGGCAACAGTCACAGTAACGAAGACAAACAAACAAACCTAGGGATGAAGTCACACATCACACACATGAGCACTTACAAGCCTCAATTACACTGTTGGGGAAGAGGTTGGTTTGCACCTCAGCCCTGCCCCTGCCAGCTCCAGGTAGTCCTACCACTTGATTTCTCTATCCCTCTTTACTACAGAAATGCCTACATCTCAGGGTGGACCTGCTCATCACAGGCTACAGCCATCCACTCACTCATTGGTTTAATCATCTGCTCACAAGTGGTATCATGGCAGCCCTTCCTGGTACCACAGCCAGAGTAAGGGAGGTGAGCAGATTTTCTGTGATGCTCAGACCTCACGCGGAACCATTTTCAGCTTCCAGTGAGAGGCTGGAGTGCCCGAGTGTTGTTAGGATTCTTCTCGTGGTCCTTTATTCTCGAATGCCATTTCTACAAAGAATTTGACAGAGGCATCAGAAAGCAAACACTCCTTCATATCTTTGAGGAAGGGAAATATTTACTAGAATGACTTTGTCATGCACATGATACAGTTATTATTATTATTTTTTAAAGATGAGTATATATCAAGCCGGGGAAGAGGAACTATGCAGTGTCACAATAGCGAAGGATCTTGTAGTTTAACTGTTTGGGGGGAGATGAGACAAATGGTAGCTAAGGATCACTGAGTCCTTGCAATTTGCCAGTTACGTTGATGATGTTTTACGCACATTTGACTCATTTAATTACCCTTCCAAGATCTCTGTGACATACATACTATTATCACCTGCATCTTCCAGTTAAAAAACAGTTGAAGCATGAAGTTAGGTAACCTGCTTAATGTCACAGGCTGAGGGGCATTAGAATTCAGAGCAGACACTGTGGGGTGGGGGAGCGTGAAGGATGGAGGACGCCAGGCTGTGTTTTCCGGGAACTCTGGAGCAAAAACCTATGCACTGAAGGGGGCATTCTTTCATATACATCAGCAAATTTTCTTGTGGTAGGAGTGTCTGACAGACATACCCGGCCGACAATTAAGTTTACCAACTTTCCACCGTGTAAGTGCATGTTACACAAGTAACACTTGTGTAACTTGTAGCTACAAAATGGCAAAATAAATCTCACAGGAATTCTGCCTTCCAAGACCTTCCGCTCTAACAAACCAGAGCCCTAAGAACAGGAAGTGACTTGCTATGCCTGGATGTCTGGTACCCACAAAACAGAGGGACCAATCGAGTGGCCCTCTCTCTTCTCGCTTGCTCAAAGCAAGCAGGCAGTGGGATGCAAACACATTTCATGTGACGCTGGCATAGACAGAGCCCCAGCTTTCATGGCAACGACTTCGTATGACAGGGCACCAAGCTGCGGTTCAGGCAAGCCCAGGGCAGCGCTCCTGTCTGGTCTCTCACACAGTAGGACCGGAACCCTGGCCCCGGCTGCCCGGCCCCATGCTCTTTCTATCACGTCGCTAAGAGCGTGAGATCGGGTCACCCATTCCTTCCCTAGCTTGCTGATAGGATCCCCCCAGTCTGCAGGCATCGGGGTGTCGTTCTCTGGCGGCCACCAGGCCCGGAAGCTCGTTTCCATCTCGGCGGCGGCGGGTCGCGTCCCGGGGCTCTGGGGGGCCCCCCCGCC